TATCATAATGAAGACTGTGGTGCATAAGAATCTGACTTAAAGAAAATAAGCCACATAGTACTCACAGTTTACTTTTCAGCAAAGTGACATCAACACACAGTGCAGCAAGGCCTATGCTAAAGCAGCTGCCAGTCAAATTCTCCAGTTCATTCAGGAGATGGATTGCACATTTATCATAATAAATAAAGGCTAAAATATATTCTGCTCAATGAATGTAACATGTATTTTTTGTGGTATTTTTAGTCCTTGTTTATGTGACTACTAATTTACAGAATTAGAGACTTTTAGGTTGCATATCATTTAGTGGCATTGAGCTTGGGTTCACTGCAAACAGAGATTAGTCTTCTACTTAGAAAGGTGGGGGTTTTAAACAGACTGTCCAAGACAGTAAGCCTCTTTATACTGGAGATCTGCATTTACTAAGGGCTGCCTAAACCTATGCTGTAACACCCAACCCCTTCAGAGATCTGCTCCACCCTTTTCCTTCCCTCCTTCTCTCCCTCCCTCCCTCCCTCCCCTTCGACATACACATGGGACTTCTCTGTAGACAGAAGTGACCTGCTGAGTAATCTCTACTTTTGGAATCATCTGTCTAACTCGCAAAGTTAAGTCATGTGAACAGATTTGGTCAGCGTCAGAAGAGGTCAACTGAAACCCAGCCAGACCATCCAGCAACAGATGAAAAGCAAGCAGAGCAGTCCTCTAAAATAAAGCACATGCATCTTACAAATGACTTGAATAAAACAAGCATCGTGTAGGTCTAATTGATCCTTGGCATATTCAACAATTGGACTTCTAGATAATCAGACTGCTTTTCTTTAATATTACAAGGCATCACAGATCAAAAAGGTTAAACTGTTGTGTAGTCATATTTCATAATAAAAAGACTAACTTATGGAATTGAAATTAAAAGCAGACTTTACTTCAGCCATTACTTCTTCAGACTGGAAACCTTTGCTGCAGCACAAGTCTGAAGACAAAGTCAACATGACTCCTTACTTTTGAACTCTATAGTATAAATCAATTACATATGGGCTGTGGAGATATTCTTGTGAGTACATTTGTGTATAATTTTTCAGTCCTAAAAGTCCTTTGAGGTCAAAGGAGGGAAAGGCAAGGTAGTAAAATTCTTTGTTTGAATCCTTGTTTCATTAACAGTTTTATACTTTCTTAATAAGGAAAGTTAATATTAGGTACAAAACATACCAAAGAAAACTGACTACCAAAAGACTGACTATTTGATTTTCTTAAATATAGTCAGGAAGAATATGCTTTCTAGCTTTCTACCCCTACGGATATTGGTCCGCAGGAATGTCGCACACATAATATCTTAAAAGCCATCTATCCAACATCAACTCTTGTTCTTCATAAAGTCATATGTAACAGATCATAGGAAATCAGGTGTTACAATTCTAGGGAGTGAAAGCCTGAAGGTAGGTGCGATATATGCAATCTAACTTAAACAAGAAAAGAGTTTGGGAATTTTTTTCTCTAAAAGGTTTCTAAATATATTTCAAAAGAATATCCCCTATTCCCACTGTCCAGCACTTCCTATTGCCTGATCCATGGGCCACTGACAAAGGCAAGGACATTTATCATATTACCATAATCTCAAAACATTTTAAGAGTTTATTTAGAGATATAATCTATCCCTTTAGCAATTAAGGCCTCTGCTTGCAGCAGAAAAGATTTAGGATGCCCACAGGATCCACTAAGCCCACAGTACTGCCCATCAGCTTGTGTTTGCTTACAAGAGAAGTGATGGAGATAGAGAAGGACAGATACAAAATAGTTTCTTAATTCTGACATGCATATTATTCCACAAAGTACAGTAGTGGCTCATGCCAAGACCAGGTCCTGTCAGTACAAAGTGCAAATGTAGTGAAAGTTTAATAACTCATTTGTGTATCATCTATTTCTCAAGTCCTTTAAGAACAGCTAAAACTAGTGAGAAATTTATCTACTGTAACATGTAAGGTTTTCCATATTCTTCTTGTCTGATAAAAACTTCCTGTCTTTCTTTAACTTCTCCTGGTTCTCTGATAAAAGCTATAATTGTCCATCTGTGAAATTATAACTTTCTCACTACAGTCACTTATGTCAGAAAATATGGACTATCTGTGACTGGTGAGAATCAAGAAACTAAATTTGACTGGGAAGATGATGCTGTTGTCATTCACATCTCACTTCCAGAAGGAAATGGAAACAAACAATATACAGAATATACAGAAATTTACTGCATTTCTGATAGAGGCCTTGATAGTATAAAGAATACCCTACTCTGCGAATACACATCTACCTAAAGAACTACATAAATAGTGTTTAACCCGACAGTGACAGGCGAAATACTACAATCTTCTTTCAGGTTCTGTCATCAGAGGAAAATATTTCCCTAGTGCATTAGACTTCGGTTTACCTTTATGATGCTGTTTTGAAGCTTTGTACTCTATATAGCACAAAAATATCTACATTAAGTCAAGGAAATTTTCAGTATAGTTCAAGGAAGTAGCCATAAAGTATAAAATCAGTCTCAGCCTTCGAATGTGGTGATATAAAAATTACAAATCTTAATTAAAAAAAAAAAAATCCCTACATTTCACCTTCTTCTGTATATTTAGCTGAAAAACAGCATGATAACAAAGCTTTTAATATGAATATCTGACATGTTTTAGGTTAAATTTAATTTTGGGAACATCCAGAAAAAATATTAGTTTAATTTTCCTAAGCTTTTCCCTAATTCTGCTATTCTGTCAAACAGCTAATGCAAAATCTGTTGAATATAATGAGATTTTGTTTCCCTTGGTCACAATATTTCCATGAGATCATTGATATCTCTAACTTATTTTCAGTGAAGATATATAGGCACTCCTTGTTTTGCTTCAGTGGACTCCTATATAACAGTCACTGAAAGATGAAAACAAAACAGAAAACTATTTTGATTTTTCTCATGCTAGGCAGATTGGAAAGCAAATTGGTCTTTGTTTTTTTAGATGGAAACAAATTATGGGTTTAACGTAGTGTTAGAAGTTCCCTGGGAAGTTGCACACTTTTTTATAATACCTGGTTCTTGTCTATACAAACAAAAATGTGCTTTAACTGGTTGGAAGCAATCCTGTTGCAGCTGACCTTGCTCTGCTATTGTGCACACCATAAACTCTTTGAGGCATAGAATGATTGTCACTTTATTTGTAAAGTCCTTTAGCCTTCTCTGTGAGGAATCCTTTCTTTTTTTGATACAGTTTTCAACTATGACTGCAAGATTTGCCTGACTGTTGAAAGTCTAAGAATTTATTCCTTTTATTTTTTGAGCAGTGTAATTTCTGCCTTATAACTCACACTGCTGTTTAAAGAAACATAGCTTTTAATTAAAACATACTTTCACATATTCATTTTCATGTACAGGTGATCTACCGATGTCATTGGCATAACTCAGCTACCTTTAGTTAAGATCAGATGTCCACATACTTGGAGACTTGCTTTTTTTTTTTTTCTTTGCTTCCCTCAGTCAACATATTGAACCACAGAAAGGCCTGGAAGGGTCCTCAAGAGATCTAGTCATTTACTGCCCCAAGTGCTTCATTTTTAGTTGCTTTTCTATAAATATCTTCATGTACATTCATTCCCCTTAAGTCATGTCTTATGTCTTATTCTATTTTTCCTACATGTATAGCTTGCATGTCAAAACCCTTCTTAACTCAGCAGTAATGTATGCCTGTAGCAAATGAACAGTTACCTACAGAACAGGCAGGTGTAGATTTATAGGGGTGGGGAAGGGGGAATGATTATGGCTCCAGGATTATGTGAAGATGGGAGATTTCTGATGACTTATTTTCATCTAGTAGTACTTTTAGAAGGGTGAGGGTTATTTTAAGGATAGGATTAAAGACATGAAAATGTGGTATTACTGGCACCTCAATGAGCATTGGTAAGTAATTATGGCAGAGGAGTGGCACAGACAGAATAAATAGCTCAGTTATATTTCCTGTGTAACCCAACAAAAAGCTAGAAACCTTTAAGATAGATGGATATCTCAGTAGACTAATTATATTAGGTCCTTATTTCTTTATAGGAGGTATTTTTCACAGATCATACCTTCAATTTTAATGACCATTCTGAACTCTAATACTTCTGCTCAGGGCTTACAGCCTTAACCAGTTTGAGTCAACTGGTTAATTTAGTATGTATGCTCTCTATTCCATCAGTGTAGATGTTAATGAAAATACTGAATACTCCTGACTATTGAAAATATTGCATAGGACCACTCTTGAAAGAGTTCTGTAGCCATTCATAAGTACTTCTTCAGCGGCTTCTCATTTATTTTTGCACATAGTTTTAGAAGTTTTTAATTCTCTCCTGAAGAGTCTCATTTTGACAAACGAGATAAACCACTGATGCCATGATTCCACCAATAACTTAAAGGAAACCCATGCTTTTCCAGCAGAATCTTGCAATACTTGGTGGAAGAAGTCTTATTATTGATTTTATTAGTATTCCTGTTCATGGACAATGTTTTGGATCAGTAAACCTTTTAAAAGACACTATTCAGAAAGAGGTCAATAGTTGATCATGATGTATAAATTCATCAGTGTAAGAAAAACTCCACCTATGGATTTAGTAGGCTGACAAGCAGAGGGAAGGGTGAATGAGGCTGTAGGAAACTTTGCAGGTGATAACTACTGAACGAAGCATTCAGGTACAGGCTATGTTAAAATTCTGGCAGTTGCCAAAGTAATACAGAAATTACGAGAATTGTACTATCTATTATTGTAATCTTTTGTCACATTCAGAAAGAAAATATATCAAATAGTTCCAGTCTAATCTTGCTTCTCAGTATAAAATGATTTGGAAATTTTAAGCTAAAACTCCACATTTTTATTAAAATAAATTAACTGATAAGCAATGATACTAGATACTAGCAGATACTATCAGAAAGATTTAAAATCAGATTCCTGCTTGCGTTTATAGCACTGATTTCCACAAAGTTAAGTAAAGTGTTTTACCTTTGCAGAGGAAAGGCTGACGACATGTCGATCTTCTTCATTTGTCACAATTTCCACAATGCTATGTTAGTGTGCTGACAGCTTCCCTGTAGGCCTACTGTTAATAGCAGGATGCCACAAACAAAGGAGTTTCTCATGAAAAGAAAGAAAGAAAAAAATAAATTAAAAAATCAGAAAGACTGAATAGTTACTTGTATTACAAATAAGCTTCGCAATGGAGAGTTTAGTGTTGATAAGTCTCTGCTTCACCATGTAGGCAACTCCCACATAATGATGTGAGTTTTTCATTCTAAGGGCTGGATTCCAGCTTACATTTTCATTGCTTATCCCCAAACTTGTATTAAAAACAGGCAAGTGATTTGCCTTTCAAAGCCTTTTTATTTTGCTAGAGGAATGTCAGCGACACTGGATGTGACTATATGTGGTAGTTCCAAAGGAGTAGAATACTTTATTAGAAATAGAACTCGCGCTCAGATTTGTTTGCTTCAAAGATCTGATTTAGAAAAATGTCAAAACAATTTTTGTGTTCACTTAGACAGGAAAGGAAGGGATGACCACCTCTATAGAAGAGGGTGGGTGTGCAGAACGGAAAGGGGAGTAGGCATGAAAGTTGAGGGCAGACAGGAAACAATAATTGCTGATGAGTGATTTTGTGTCTTGAAGTAAATCAGAATTATATTATTTGTATGTTCAAACATTAAATTTGCCTTCAATTTAGGGAATAATCCTTGACTGTATTATAGATGAATCTTGTAGTAGAAAATATTTTCATAATAGTTTCCATAAGTATTTCAAAACTCAAAGTCATTAAAAATGTATTAGTAAAGTCCCCCAAGGTTATTGACTGATATAAACACAACTGTACATAGTGCATGGAAATATTTCATATTTTTCACAGGAGTTTCAAGAGAAAATGAGCCCAGTTTAAATTTTACATTAATTATTTTATATTTTAACTTTCAATTCCTGGAAAATATTTCACTTATATGAACTGTAAGCAATTAGCTGAACACTTTATTTTGACACACAATAAATGAAAAAGCCACATTTCATGTAGACTACAGTTTGAGTTTTAGTTATCTCTCAGGTTAAAGTGAGGTGCAGAAAGCCAAAAACCATAGACTAGGAAGTACATGCCCCAAAAGAACATTCACCGAACCTCAAGACTACAATGCTCAGCTTAGTTTTGTTAACAAAGAGAAGAGGTCTTGCAGTCTGCTCTCCAGGGGTCTTCCTTAAGCTTGTTCAACCTACTGTCATTTGTCAGTCTCTCTCTCTCTCTCTCTCTTTCTCCAGAAATCTATTCCTTTCCTTCTTAATACAGCAATATGTGATTCATTTAGGAGCTCCCCATCTCCCTTTTCCTCCATTAAACATTATTGTCCTCTCAGTTAAATTGATTCCACTGTTTATGTAGCTTCTCCCTAAATGAGAGAGGCTTGCTGGAGAAATGATCTACTTTTAAAATAGTTACAACAGAAAGTAATTTTGGTTTATGCCAGCTCATTTCACAAGTGTGACTGAGGATGCAACCATGCCAACAGTTGTACTGGCACAATGGAGGGATAACTTCTACAGAGGAAAGGGGAGCCATGGATAAGTAGCCAACCAGCAATAGCTTTAGTGGGACCAGTTTCTTTTCAGTAGGACTCTCAGGCAAAACTATTCTAGATTAGCTGTCTATGCTGTAAGCTTGGCAGGAAATAACTTAAAAAGGCTATAATTGCAGAAGTGGTTTGTGAAGCCCTTTTGGATGGGGAAATTGCAGAACATGGTGGGCCCCTGCTCACTATCCCAAATGTTGTGTTAGGCTGTCATAGACACATTCCGCAAGTTAGCAGAACCCCTGTGGCCAGGTCAGTATACATTACTGAGAAACAAGACCATGGGAGTAAAATTCAGCTTGCAAACCTTCCATGAGGTGAACAAGAAGACACAAAAAATGGTAGACAGAAGCCTCCAGTGAGATTGGTGACACCAGTTACAGTGTCAGAGGGAACAGACACTGCTTCAACAACATGACCTTTAGCAGCCCCAAATGGAATCTGTTATGGCTTGGTAAACTAGGTAGAAGCTGTTGACAGTGTCTGACCAACCGAACTATCTACTTGCTGCATTTTTGAGGAACAAGATCTTTCTTAGTCTTCCTAATTGCTCTGTTTTTTATATTCCTGAGGTGATGGTAGATAAATGAAGGAGAGGACAGTGCCTTTTAATTAAAGCACAGAGAGTTTCTTTTAAGAACAGAATCACTAATGCATGTTATTTGCTTAAGATATTAACAGG